GCGTACTTTGCTTGATAAATTGGTGTATTCTTTTAAATTAAAAAAATTCGTTGTTAGTGATGATGGTGATGATCTCGTTAGGATACGACTTGTGGTGTAAAGGTTAAAGGAAAGGGGTTCAGGGGTTGTGCCTAAATCATGATTGGACCGCGATAACACCGAAACTGGAACAACGTTTTCCCGAGTCAGCAACGCTTCGGAATTAACCCGAACAATTAATTCGGTCCTATCCTGCGAACTTTATACAATATCAACCACACAGCACATATTACGAACTTCGCACAATAAGAAGCCCTGGGGACCAGGCCTTTGAAGAAGGGAGATAATTGTAATAGGCGCAACGGAGATATCTATATTAGGAAATAGATACGTGGCGATAGATATGTGGCGATGGCAATATTATCTATATAATGCTCGCTGATATCCGTGGATTTTAGGAGATCAGCGATTAGCTTTGAACAATAGAGATTGCTACCTTTCTAATATCCTTTGTGCGTACTTCACACTACTCTTGTAATTACTCTTGTAGCCCATCTCTTACAATGAATATCTACAATTTTAATGAAAAAGAATTTCTATTAGATTTCATTTACACTCTCAAATATATTGTATCAATTAATTCATTCAAGTCAGACCATACAATAGATGTCAGTCAGAATGACAGTCATGAATTCATTATACTACTGATTTCAATTTATATAAATAAAACTTCATTTTTATTTGCTTTTATATATTAAGAAAAATTAAAAAATATGTAAGATATTTAATTGAAAGATTTTGATAATGAAAAGAATTAAGTCTACTTTATTGCTTCAGAGAATAGATGAAGTAATGATAAATATAAATTAATATGATTAAAAAAAATCTCTAAATCTCATATAAAAAAGAAAGCAGAATGTGAGTATAGATTTTTTATATTGAATGACCACTTTTCTTATATTAATATAACATTCATCAATTATATAATTTTACATCAGATTCTATTTACTGTCTTTTCTTCTCATTCTACTCATTGATTACAGCTGCTAAATGTTGGAGTATTTGAATCATTGAGTAAATCATGCTCAAATCAACTAAATGAATGAATGAGAATTGAAATGAAATTTATACACATTTGTAATGTGACGGTGCCGAGGCGGTTGCTACTCGGCAGCGGCACAGAGGAGGATGGTATATAATGGGAAGCCTTATGGGTGGGCTTGATTATCTCGCTTGAACCGCGAACTCGTAGAATACTATACAAATACTGAACTATCAGAGGTACTCGGCACACTAAGAATATTGTATGGGGACAGTGGTAACTTTGGTATCTTATTGTCAAAAGATAAAAGACGAATCGCTGGCTCCTGGAATAGAGAGCCAGCATCTAGCTATTCTATATAGATAACGGGCAGCCATCCTCCCCTCACTCTATGAGCGAGGGTAGCCGAAGCAACTCCGCAGTGGCGCTGCATTGATCTGCCAGAAGGAATCTACTGACCCCGTATAGAAACAGGATTCTCATATCCCATCAATCGGATCCTCTTCTATTGCATCCGAATGATGTCATAGGGTGGTTGGAAACCGGTTCGGACACCTGCGTGACGTCATGGGATAGATGGGATTATCCGAGGGGAAGCTATGGGCCGTGTGGAGCCGTCACGGGGCCTTGGCACAACCAAAGGTGTGACAACATTACAAAAAGGTCTTTTTGACAGCTATTTAATATGATATGAAAGAAGACAGTTACACTTTCAAATATTATATTTATATTCACAGCAGTTGATTTATATTTATTTAATTTAAATTGAATTATTAAAAAGCTCACAATACATTCTTGCATTTTCTCAAATCAATATCAACTCAGAACTTCTATTTTTATTATTGACATGCAGAAATTAATAAAATAAATCAAATAACAACAATGTTGAATTTTTTATAATTTCAACTGAATGATTCATACAGAAGAAAATCTTGCTTTTGATAAAAAGATTTTTTTAATAAAAAATAAATAATTATAGCAAACTCTTAATCAAAAAAAAAGACATTGTAAATATGACAGAGCAATAAGATTGTTAGATTCTTCAAATTCATCATTAATATAGTTCTTTTCATTAGTAAAGATGCAGAGCATCTGTGAGTAGATGATTGTTATAAAAATCATTAAAAAAATGAACAGATTTGTAAGAAGAATATCAAATTGCAATACATTATTTTTAAAAAGCAGAAGAAAGCAGATATCATATCACAATGAATTAAATAGAAGAAAGCTCATTGAACAGTAAAAAAGTAAAAAAATAAAAATAAATAAAACTGCAAGAACTGCTCAATGATAGATTGAGAAAAAGCTTAGAAATGCAAGAAAAATTCAAAAATAAAAAGAGAAGAAAGAATGAGTTGCTGTGCAGCAGCAATCACAATTAGATAAAGCTAGAATTGAAGAATTCAAAAATCACCTTTCTAATTGGGAAAGTAGACCCTCAATTTTGCAAAGAGTGGCTAAAATCTCTACTGATTTGATGATTGTCTGCTCATTGAATCTGCCTCCACCCAAGATTTTGTGTTCTGGGTGAGTTATTAAGCCCAACAAACATCTTCTGAATTAGCTATATATTTCTATATGTAATTTTCTATATATATTTTCATCATATAATATATCATATTAAAATCTAATCGCGTTGTTGAGATATTGTTGAAAAGATTTCATCATAGTGGTGGCGAAATGGCGAGCGTTGGGTGGAAACGAGCGTTGGGTGGTTGATTACATTACTAGGTTGGCCACGCCTTTATATCTGAGCCATGCGTGGTGCAGCATTGCGAGGGATTCATCGGAGGACTCAAGGCATAAACAGCTGCCAGTCAGTATAGAATTCAGGGACTGAGGCCAGTGTTGAGGTCATCTGTATTCGTAGTTATGCCTTACAATAAATATTGCCTGGTTGATCGATTCTAGAACTTCCGTCTCGAAATCCACAAGTATTTCTTATGCCAGGAAATTTAACATCTCTTCAATGGTTCATACGATTCATTTCTCATCACCCATCAACCCTACCCCAACCATCTTTGTTCGTTGCAGAAAAGCTGAATGCCATTGTATGTAATCTGTACATAATTCTCGTGTTGCCATGCCTGCTGGCGATTGGTGTCCTCACTCCAGCCACATCTTTCTTGCGCGAACGAAACAAAGATGGCTGGGGGTGGATCATTTTATTTACCTGGACCTGGCTGCCATTCTTTCTCATTCCTGCTCCTGGGTCTAGGTTGCATATCTCTTTACCAAACGTGGATCTGCCATTTCTTGTGCTTCTTGGTTTATCGCGTTGTTTCCAGTGCAGTGAATCAATCACAATCATCGTTGTCAACAACCCCTCGCCAATTGTTTGCCGCCAGCACCCATCCACTAGAGCCATAGGGCTTAGCCAACTGGTATTCTCTTCGTGCTCTCTCTGGCTTTCTCCTTAGCTGTTCCCGCCGCCCTCGTAGCCCCCTTTACGGCCTCTTTGCGATTTTGACTGGTTTTGACGTGTGATGAATCGTCCGTTGTTTATTATCCTCGTTTGAGCGTGTTCTTTTATGCCTGGCCTTTGATTTTGTTGGCCTAGGTACCCCGAGCGGATAGCCTTGGGACCTTTCACCGTCGATCCTGTCAGACGCGAAACAAGCTTGGAGCCAGCTCGAAAAATGTGCGTTTACGGTTTGTTTTCATAAGATACGGTCCGCGGCGAGAGAGTTATTACTGAATACGCTTCTTTCCTGGTTTAGTGTATAAAAAGAAAGTAGCCCCGATTGGGTGCGCTCAGGCTGCTCTGGAATTGAGGCAAACTTTGGCCGGTGGTTTGGGAATTATTGCCTGAAAAATGGCGACCATTTCGTCATCTCGTAGGCAGTCAGTGCCTGCGCCTAGTCGACGACAAGTTTCTTATGTCGACCAGAAACCGATAAACGGTATGGAAAACAATGCTCCGTTTGCGAACAATCGATACCCTGTCAAACGAGCTACCTCGGACAATTATGCCAATCATTCTCCCATCCTCCCTGTTGGCCCAGAGGTTCAGCGTCCCGCTCCTCCTTCATTCAGAAACTCCTTCAATTCGGGACCGTCGCGCAGGTTTGGAGAAGGGCCAAAACCATTCGCTGTGCGGGCTAAAGAATTACAAATTGAGGGGGCTTTGGATGGGCTAGATCGCCTTTCTCCAACAAACAGTGCTTCCTGGGTGGAATCCCAACGACAGCTAAATGAAGAAGCAGGGCCCCTAGAAGGCAGGTTGTCTCCGCATGTCGACCTGCAAAACGTGACTATCCGCAAGCCGAGGAATAATAGTAAACGGGCAAATCCTCCTGATGATCCCGTCCCGCCGTCTAAATCCAATTCGTCACTGTCACCTCCTAGCGCAAGAAGCAATTCGCTGAATCAGAAAAGAGACGGGCATGTGCGGCGCGATTGGGCTCCTGAGAAGTCTCCATTACAGAAACTGGAATTCACGTTGAAAGATTTCAGCAAAGAAGAGAAACGTGCCAGGTTGGAGGAAGCTGAAATGCTGCTAAGGGACGCAAAGGCCGGTCGTCGAAGTCGCCAAACCAGCCGTGACATGACTCCACCTTCACAATCAAGCACAGCGCTCAGGCCGAAAAGCACCACGGATCCTTCAAATCTGGAGGAAACGGGCTTAGTCCGGAGTTTGAGTGCCAAGCAGCGTGATAGATTGCATCACAGCGCTGTCATAGATTCGACAAAGCCTGATGCCAATCGTTTCTCAAGGGACGGCCGGGGTGGCTTTGACTATGAAGAGAACCCGCTGTACGAGAACCGACAAAAGCCTCCAATCCAAGAGCAGGTCCTCGATGAACAGTATGATATTCCAAGAAATACCGGGCGACAGAGGGGTTGGGATCTTAGTGATACAGCAACAACAACACAGGTTGCGGATCAAAGAATGAACGATGCGGCAACGTTACAAAAATCCCAGGTTCCAGACAATCGTATCCCTGAAGACCATGAACATGCAAACCTCTTCCACCAGGAAACAGACCTACCTCAGCCCTCAACCTCTGGAACTGTACAACGCAGCAATAGTCGCAAGTTACAGAAGCCTTTACCACGGAATCTCAATCCTCAATTGCAAGCGGACCCTGTCCAGAAAAGGAGAGCGTTCCCGTCAGCTGCAGCATCATCATCAACTTCAGCTGCCCCAGCTATTCGGCCGGCTACCAGTCGCAGCACTTCATCAAATCTCCAGATAGAATCGGATAGACTAGACTCTGGCAACAATAATATCAAAACTACTTCCAATGTAGGGCTTGGACTGAGCAATGCGACACCTCCGCAAGCCTCTGTATCTGAAAATCAGAATCGGCCCGTTAGGAATGGGAGGGGTAAACACCAACACACAGTCTCTTTTGCTGTACCCCCCGCAACACCACCGCCGGTATCAGAGTGGAAGAATGCGGGCGTTGGGAGATTGCGTTTAGAAGATTTTGACCTTCGAGAAGTCGACCTCAAAAAGCCTTGGTGGGAAGGTGGTGGGTCGGGGAAGAAAGTACAACAGGCGCTGCCATCGATGACGAAAATCAAAAGTAAGCCAAATAGTTACTTACCTGTGGATACTGTGCTATGCTACGTTGCTTTCTGTGAATACTAATC